TGTGGTGACCTCTGGCTTTGCAGCAGTCATCCAGGCTGTCCTTCCAGGACCCACGTGTTGTCAGTAGCTTCTCTTACGTAAGGCCCTTAGCCAGACAAATGCTTAGACCTCCCAGACAGAAATTATTGACTGCCCCACTGCAGAGTCGCCGATGCTAATGTATTCAGAGGTCACGGTATACACCGCGTCTTTCTATATATATATACACGGAACGCGCGTTCAAGTTCAACTTTTAGCCAACATGTCATATATATTTGATAAATACACTTTGTGACCAGCATGTTTCCCCCTATTTCAATTTTAATTTCCAGACAATCTTTTAACATAAGGATGAACTTACAAAAAAATACATCATAATTGCATAATAATAATCGTTTAAAAGTAATGTAGTATTTAATTTGGGGCTGACATTTGTATTTAAAATCATCTTTTTAATTTGATCTTCGGTAATATTTATATTTTCTGACACACTGAGTTTTGGTGTTTCATTATCCGTAAGACATAATCATCACAATGACAAAAAATAAATAAAAGCTTGAAATATTTAACTCTTATGTGTAGTGAATTGATATAATAGATGACTTACACTTTCTGAAATGACTGGCAAAAACGATTGAAGTTTTTCATGAAATTCACATTTTTTTTGAACTGTATATACAGTACACCACTCAGCGGTCCAATAGGCTAGCCAAGTAGCATGGTGTAGCATAGTCGCAGCAGTTGTTTTAGGCTCTGCCACTTGTTTACGCACAGCAGATAAGTACACCTTTTATTTCACAGTGCAGCATAGTCGCAGCAGTTGTTTTAGGCTGTTTACGCACAGCAGATAAGTACACGTTTTATTTCACAGTGGATTTCAAAGACTTCTCATGTAGATTTTAAGGATGTTTAGTGCTTTTTTTTACCAACAATTTTTCGGACCTCTTTTCTATTCTTCTCTCATTAGTTATTTTCTTTCCTCGTCCCCTTTTGTTATCACATTTTTTTCCCCCTTTCTAAAGACAGGCCGCGTATCTTGACTTTATTGATTTGATTTGTATATTAAGTGAGAAACTTTACGAATGTTACAGTTTGTTTTTCGAAATACAATGTGACCTAATACAATTTCGCAATCGTGATACAACATTGTTTTATGATGTTGTTTGGAAATGTACACCTTTATTTTGACGTGTCTGGTGACGGGGCGTCTCCCTTAGAAGAGTCACCTGATGTCACCGTGACATGCCCTTACTGTATCACTTACTGTATAAGACACTTCAAGGTTCAAGGTGTTTTGTGATCAGTTGACACCAACTGACAGCAGGAAGGCAAAGACCTCCCGGAGGAAAGATGGTAAAAGATGCTTTTGTGTGCAGAGAAGGTAGGCGAAACGTACAGCCGGCTGAGAAGAGTCTTTTGTATCTCTTCCTCCTCTGTGCGCATGTTTTGTAGCCAGCGAGGGTAAGAACGATGAGGTGTAAAGAGGAGTAAACTCGTGACTCATCGTCACGCGGTGGATTGAGAGCTTAATGAGTCAGAAGTGTGGAACATTTTGAGGTGAATAAACACTGATACGGGGCGGAGAAAGGGCGAGTGTATTTATATTCTCAAACCATTACGGCATTTTAGAATTTCTCATCCCATCAGTTTCAATTCTTTAAATAACAGATGCAATTATTTGGCCCATTCTGATTTTCAACTGTTTGGCATGCGTGACTTGTTGAATCGTGTTTCCTCCAATTGACAGCACATGCAAAAAGTGAAATGCTCTTCAGTGCAATTTCTTTCCTAGCATAGCAGTATTAGGAAACTCGGCCACAGATAGGGATGTAACGATGCGTTGTAAAAAAATCTGTTAAAAACGATACAAATCTGTGACAATTTGCATCACTTGAAATAAAAAAAATAAAAAACGGTGTCGCATTTCAAGGTGTAAATAGTAGGCTGCATTATCTCAAAAAGTCACTGGTCATACCGTGACACTGCACACTCCGGTACAGTAGGTGGTGCTATGCTCCTAAAAACGTTAGTTGCGACCCACTAGTAAACCAAATATTCCATATTATTCCAACGAAGCCTAAGTGACGTTAGTTGCGACCCACTAGTAAACCAAGACATATTCCAACGAAGCCTAAGTGGCATTCAAGGGTTCAAACGGAACGTGGGTGAAAATCCTAAGGAAGCGGACTTGGGTACGGAAGGTTGCTGGTTCGAGTCCACCAGCTGAGCATGGCACTCTGCGCTCAGCAATCTGCCCGGAGTTCACTTTGGTGATGGGTTAAATGCAGAGGTTTGGTTGGTTTGGTTGTGTGCAGTGATGTGTCACAATGACAACGAGTTCACTTTCCTTTTCTTTCCGTCCCAGAGAGGATGGTTGTTGACCAGGTGTTTGATGAAAATTAAGCCAATGAAATTAAAGCAAAAAAAAAATCACTTGAAGCACACCCACACCACTCAGGTGATCTTCATTTCACTAATTGTGAGACTATTGGCAAGAATTTGGACCTCTATTGAATTAGACCATTAACTTAAAAAGGGGGTGATTAACTATGCAAACAATTATATTTCTTTATATATTTTTATTTCATTGACATTACTTTGTAGAAATCTGTTTTCACTTTGACATTAAAGAGTTTTTTCCAATAAATGTTTGTGTTAAAAAAGCCAAATTGTATTGACCATGATTGATTTATGAAAGCACTAAAAGGGTAAAACATCCAAGGGGGTGAATACAGTAAACCCTTGTTTTTCGCGGGGGTTACGTTCCAAAAAGAACCCGTGATAGGCAAAATCCGTGAAGTAGAAATCTTTATTTTTTTTACAATTAAATACTCAGAAAAAGAAGAGAAAGAACGAACAAACCATTTTACAGTCTCAACCATTTGTTTCACAAATAAAGTAAAATAAAAGTACTTTAGAAACGTTTCAACAAATAACTTCTGTAATGTACTGTCAAATAATAATTTTAATCATCAACGTGAACAGAAGGCTTCAAATTGCGGAGATTAGCACCGCCCACCGTGAACGGGAGAAAATTAAAAATGATTATGAAAAAAATACAAATTACCTGGTCTTGTTGCGGGCAGTTGCAACCCTTTTTGAATCCTTATTAAAACTTATTGCTGCTGTCTTCCTTATGTTTTTTTCTTCCTTCTTTATGGAACGAACGGAAGATTCATTAATTCCATAATGCCGACCTACAGCCGCATAGCTTTTACCTTCATTTAGCATGTCCAATAGTTTTACTTTATCACCGATAGACAGCATCTTCCGCTGCCTTTTGGTCCCTACCGCAGGTACTTTTGCCGGTCCAGAGCGTTTTGTCGACATTATGGGGTTTGATAAACTCGAAATTGCAAGAGAATTTGCACGTACGTAATGTCAATTTGGCAAGCTGTTTTACGTACGTGTACATATTAAACCGCAACGTTATTGGCGCACAGGTAGAGAAGAAGCGGAGTGACTTTTTAGCCAATCAGAATGCAGAACACAATGCACGATGCAAATCCGTGAAGTAGCGAAACCGTGAAAAGTAAACCGCGTTATAGCAAGGGATCACTGTACATATATTGGCATGCCATTCAGAAAATGAATCCTTGAATTTGTATTGAACCCTGAATATATTGAATGAAGCGTGACAGATGTCTCCAAGGCCCTGCTGCATTCCCTGCATTTTGACAAAAGTGCGTCAACTAACTTTGCTACCGTAGTGACTGACTTACCTTTGTAGTTGCTCGTGTGTGTTTTTTCAGGACAAAACGTCAATCGTTTGGTACCGCTGCTCGTTAGTTACTCGTGCGCTGAACCTGTTTCTGATCATTGACTCGGTTCCTTTGCCCGTACCTGGTTTGAATACCTGTCTTTTAGGGCTCTGCCAAAGTTGCTCTTTGTTATTAGTCATGGCAGTTGAGTCTATTTCTATTAGTAATAATTAATTATAAGAACAATTATGATAAGATCTCACACTCTTTTTTTTTTTTTTTTCTGTTTTGAAATCATCATCAATGGATTCATCTTTATCGTATAAGGCAGTGGTCCCCAACCCGAGGGCCGCGGACCATCACCGGTTCATGGGTCCATTGGCACAGAAAGAATGCATAAATGACATGATTTCCGTTTCATTTTGAAAAATGACCAAACTCTCTTTCCGCCCCATCCGTCTATGACACAAACTTCATACGACCTACCTACACCCGCTACCTTCTTAAAAGGTCTGCTCCGGCCTGGTAACGCGTTACTGCTAAATTGAAACCCCCTTAAGCTAGCAAAAAATGAACAAAAAAACATCTTTGGAACGTTTCTTTACGCAGGATACAAGAGCCAATGAGAAGGCAGAAGAAGAGCTTACGCCTTCAAAGGAAAAGAAAGCTCCATTTAACAGACTCCAGGACAATTCCAAGAGTCCTACTTGAAATATGGATTTTATTTGCGAAAGGTTGTTTTCACGCACCAAGCCCACGTTGCGTAATAATGAGGCATCAAAGCCTTCTTCGCCACTTGGAGACCGAAGAAGTTTTTTTCTGCATTAACAGACAAGCGCAATGTTGCGAGGACACAGCTAATAAAGTTGCAAACAAACACGGTGGCTTAACATTTTTTATTATATTTAAAAAAAATACCTGTTTTGATGCCGGTCGTCATCATTTTATTTCGTTGTATTTATCCGCGACATTTTGAAGAGGGGTCGGAGAGAAAACATTTAACCGGTCCATGGTGCAAAAAAAGGTTGTGAACCACTGGTATAAGGGGTTACCTGGCAAAATGCAAGGGCACTGAGCATGTGGGCAGCTTAGTGGTTAAGGATGTGGACTCGGGTCCGGAAGGCTTTAGGTTCGAGTCCACCGGCTGTGAAGTTCACTTTCCTTAATCTATTCGATATATCTATATCAATCCAAATAAAATAAATTCAAATTCATTCAAGCTCCATCGTGCTTCAGCATTATGCTTTCAAATGTTTTTTTCGTTATTAAACTCTGTGCTCCGTCTCATGTTGTTTCTATACTTGTTTTTCCGCTTTGCAGGCAAGAACTGGGATTTTACTGCTGCCCTCAGTGATTTTGAGCAGCTACGTCAAGTGCACGCCGGGAACCTGGCGTATTCATTGTCAGAGGAAAGGTCCTATCTGCATCCTGAGAAAGATATGGCCAGGGTAGGACGGCCAATGCTCCATCGACAGGATGAGGTCGTGCAAGGTAAGCCCACCGGCAAGTGAACCGGTCCTAGCTACGGAGAGAAAAATGGAGACTTACGAACGGCAGCATAAGCAAGAAGTCCGGTTAATGCCAAACAACATGAATCCTAAACAAGTAATAATATCAGTTTACAGTTTTAATCTATCATACAATACATACAAGGCATTTTTAAACTGCGCTAACAATAGCTAACCCTCCGAGAAACAACGTTAAAGCCTCAAATTAAACATTTTTTTTTTGGTCCAGTATTTTATCAGCTCCTCACCTCAAAGAATCTTCATCAGGTTTTCTCTGCGTAGCCGGCGCACCTCATTCAAGAATGATATTATTATTTATCATATAGCAATGCTCTAAACTGACTGTTGTTCTAAATATGCATCCTCCAGGAAGCACAAGAATGCATATTGACCTTTTTGCAACACGACAGCTGGCGTCACCTTCAGCATATTGACCTTTTTGCAACACGACAGCCGGCGTCACCTTCAGAGCCGTCAGCCGTTAGACGGAAGGAATATTCAACAGATTGACTCGCATCTTTATTTGTCTTGTCCCTTTTTTTTTTTTAACCACAGAGAAAAGGCTGTCCAGGGGCATTTCTCATGCCAGTTCAACCATTGTGTCTTTGGCCCGTTCTCATGTCTCGAGCACGGGTGGCAGCACCAACGAGGCACTCCTGGACACGCCCCTGTGCACATTTCAACTGCCGGATCTCACCGTGTACCAGGATGACTTCCGTGGATTCGTCGAGAGGGATCTCATTGAGCAGTCAATGATGGTGGCCCTGGAGCATGCAGGTGAGACAAAATGGGGCCAGCACGTCTGGCCTGTTTTTCCATCATACAGGCCAGGTCTTACTACTACTCATATGATACGTTTTAATGGCATGCAAAATAAGCAGAACGGTTTAGAAAGTAGCTGAAAGGTGTGTGTTAAGGGAGGCGTTCACTCCCTGCAGAGCTACATCGCAATATGGAAAATGTTTTTTCATACCTTGCGCCTTCACAAGTTACTGCATCATAAGAATTTCATTCTGTTTTTCACAGTTTTATATGACAGTCAATTATTACGTTTTTGAAATTTTCACAGTTCACTGTACATTTTTATTATTTATAATAAATGTTCAATCCTGATTAGTTTGCAAAAAAAAAAAAAAAAAAAAAAAAAAACTGGCAAAAAAATCTAATTTTGTCTTTTTTTTTTTTTCCCTGTCCAGGTCGCTTAAATTGGTGGACAAAAGTCGTCCCAAACTGTCAGAACCTTTTGCCCCTGGCGACAAGTGGTGATGGAAATTGTCTGTTGCACGCAGCATCACTCGGTGAGTTAAAGTGGGCTGCGACTGAGGTGTCATGTCACACGCTTTTAGTGTTTTCATTAAGAGGGTTTTATTATTTTGCTACAACGTAGTTAGAATTGAATGATTTCCTTTACCTGCTGTTCTGGCTGTGTTCCAGACTTTGCAGTAATGTAGCTGGGATATCATATCCACCCCACCACTTTAGATGTTTTTATGGAAAATATTAGGGCTGTTGAAATGAAGCATGGTAATCACATTAAATTATTTGTGAAAAAAAAACTATAAAATTGAATCCACAGCTACTCTGTGATTAATCCTAATGAAAATATTTTTATTTATTTTATTTTATTTTATTTTTATTTATTTTTTGAGTCGTGGCAATTGAAATGGTAGTGATGTAGTTAAAACCTAAAACAGCAAATAAATTAAATTAAATATATTAAATTAAAATTGTTAATTTATTGCGTGTTCCTTTAGGCAAACATTGTACATTGAACATGATCGCCAACATTATAACTGCTCACAAAATAGTAAAAGCACTGCAGCAGAAGCACAGTTATTAACCGCTCGGAATTTTGTAAAATGAAGGCTCGCGTTAATTACGTGACGCAGAGCGCCTTTTGCAAGGTGGCAAAAAAATATATTAAATAAAATGTTTAATTTGTTGATTATTTATTTGATTTATAATTGAATTTTCAATAGCTGTGAAAGTGTCTACACGGGAGGTAAACATAGTTTTTTTCTGAAAAAACTGACTTGGCTGAAAAAATACACAGTTGGCTAAAAGAACACAGAGAGTTTTTTTTTTTTTTTTTTTAATAAAAATAGTTATTTATAATGGTTTAATTTACTGACCAGTTGTTGCCTCATTCGCATAAATATGTAAAATTTGATTTGTTGTATTGCAGGAATGTGGGGTTTTCATGACCGGGACTTAATGCTACGCAAGTCCCTGTATGCGCTCATGGATCACGGGTTGGAGAGAGAAGCACTGAGGCGCAGGTGGAGGTGGCAGCAGACACAGCAGAACAAAGAGGTGTGTTACAAAAGCTGCACATTAAATGCTTCTCTTAGCCCAGCCCTAAACAACAAGATCAGCCCAACTGGTTCCAAATAGTCGATGCGTGACGCATATACGTTTGACGTGTACTCCAAAGTAGAAAAAGATGGGCCTCGGAAACATCATATTTTTAGATCGGTTGTATAAACTAACATCACCAAATGCAGCGGGCTTGTAACGCGTTGCTTTACAGGATGTGTCGTATACACGTCCGCGCGACCGATTTTAGGTTCTAGAACTGGGTGTGACTGACTGGAAAACATTGATTCTCAGCATTAGGGAAAAAAAGAGTGACTTAATCAGGTGGTTTTCCTTGTGTGCGAGTGCACACCGTGTCGAACCTCCGACTGCTGCAGAGCTCACCTCGACTGGAGCGGAAAGGAACTGGCTCGTAAACTAAAAATTTTTTTTTTTTTTTTTTTTATAACCGCTGGAAAGTAAAACATTACTGGAGTACTAAATCAATTGGGATTAATAACTTATATGTTTTTAAAAAAAAAAAAAAAAAAAATCTTAACTATCCCTTTAAACCTTTGGGTTTTAAAAGGATGTTGTTCTGTTACCAAAACAATTACTAAACCACAGCATGCTTTCCTGATATCTATCCCTTTAAACCTTTGGGTGTGTGTGTGTGTGTGTTTCTGTGTGTGTGTGGTTTATTTTCCTACCTCCTCAGTCTGGTCTGGTGTACACCGAGGAGGAGTGGCAGAAAGAATGGAATGAACTGTTGAAGTTAGCATCCAGCGAGCCCAGAATACACTACAGCACCAACAGCACCAATGGGTGAGGTCTGCCTCAGATAAAGCATGGACTGTTAGCTCACCATAAAGTGAGTCACACTCATGGCATTAGTCATGAGTGGACAACGGCACTCCTACATAAGAGGCCTTTTATATCCTAAGTAGTATAAAACTCACCCCCAGGGTGTTAATCATGTGTTCTTTGCATTTTATCATTTGTTTTTTACTCTTATACCGTACTGTATGTTGACCTTGTCCCCCAGGGTGGACCCTTCAGATGAACCAGTTTATGAGAGTTTGGAAGAGTTCCATGTCTTTGTTCTGGCTCAGGTTCTCAGAAGGCCTGTAGTGGTCGTGGCTGACACCATGTTGAGGGACTCTGGAGGAGAAGGTAAATGTTCCTTAAGCCTTTTCCTTTTTTTTTTTTAAGTAGATAATCATAGGTATATTTAGATTCCACACAAATCCTTTGTTACAAAAATAACACTCGGGTTACTTTTACTATTTCTTTCTTACACAAAGACAACATTATTTTTCAGGTAAACAAACGAGAGGATAAACAACGGTGCTCCTTCATTATTAGTAGCAAACTATACCAGTTTGACGGGACAACTTAAGACTGTCCCAAAAGCTGTAAACGGAGCTTTTGGGACAGTCTTAAAAAGTTACATTTTTCACTAACTTTTGCCTGTCTGTGTCAGAAAGGACATCTGGTGTAAAAAAAAAACAAAAAAAAATTTGGGTCGATTACAAAATTGACTTCCATACCAGATCGGTTGCGACCCAGGTTATGGACAACTGCTTCGGGAGCTGTAACCTTACGTGGTACTGGTCGGAACTGGAAAACTGACGGCTAATGACTGGTTAAGAAAAGATGTGGTTAGCAAAGAGAGAAAAGAGAAAAGGCAGGAGTTTAGAGGTCAGTGAAGGGACTTTGGACACTGCAGAGAGTTGACAGATCTGTCTTGTGTGTTCACCTGATGAAATGGAAGAGAACCAAGGCCAGGGACCTTTGATGTGGTTTCTGGAAGCTGTAGAAATGGAAATCATGGGATCATTTAAGACATAGGTGTCAAACTCAAGGCCCAGGGGCCAAATGCGGCCCGCCAAGCCATTTTGTGTGGCCCGGGGGAGCTTAAAAAGTATTTAATAAAGTCCATGCAGCAGAGTTTATCAACCTATGAAATTAAACGTTTAGTTTTTATTCCACAGCAATGAACAATCTTTGTAGCTTGAATAAATAATAATCAATTGAAGATACATCTATACCAGACTCTATTATGTTTGTATCAAAGTCTGAATGACTTTTATTTTAAAATATTGCCAGATTATTGTTAAAGAAAGTAAATGGAAAATGTTTTTTTGAATGAAGTAAATTAGATTATTTTCATTTTTTCACTGTGTCCCACTGCGGGCTGCTACCAAAGGACCTATGGACTGGTACTGGTCCACGAACCAGGGGTTGAGGACCCCTGATCTATACAGTGTTCTGTTTAAACTGGCCCTTCAACAGGAACTGTATTGCTGATGTGGCCCCCAGGTGAAAATGAGTTTGACATCACTGATTTAAGAGTACAGGTGGTACCGGTTTGGGGACATTGGGAATAGAGTTTCAACAGTCATGCGCCTAGGAAGGGAACTGTTGTTGTCCATGCAGGACATGTAAAATCGCCAGTGAGGAAAAAAAAAAAGTCTTAATATTTTTGAACCCATCAGTCAAAAAACATCGATCATGTCTCGAAACGGCTCCGTTTACAAAGTCTCAGCTCAGTCAGCGCGTGCAGGGCGTGGGACACAGTCACATTTCTGTCCGACAGGTGCTTAAGCTGCGGGGAGGGTTCCTTAAACAGCTGTCTGCCAAAACGAAACCTTTCGGGGTCAACTCACTTTCTAGATGAATATCTAGTAGGTTTGTCCTATCACAGACTAGTTTTTCTAGTCGCAAGACCAATGTGCATTTAAAGTTGTGGAGTAACACTGCACACTTAACAGTCAGAATAACAGCCAGTTGCTTACTCATTTTTGTTGTTGCATAAAGTGTGATCTATCCAATGACTGAATTAATCCATAAAAAAATACAAATTACCTGGTCTTGTTGCGGGCAGTTGCAACCCTTTTTGAATCCTTATTAAAACTTATTGCTGCTGTCTTCCTTATGTTTTTTTCTTCCTTCTTTATGGAACGAACGGAAGATTCATTAATTCCATAATGCCGACCTACAGCCGCATAGCTTTTACCTTCATTTAGCATGTCCAATAGTTTTACTTTATCACCGATAGACAGCATCTTCCGCTGCCTTTTGGTCCCTACCGCAGGTACTTTTGCCGGTCCAGAGCGTTTTGTCGACATTATGGGGTTTGATAAACTCGAAATTGCAAGAGAATTTGCACGTACGTAATGTCAATTTGGCAAGGTGTTTTGCGTACGTGTACATATTAAAGCGCAACGTTATTGGCGCACAGGTAGAGAAGAAGCGGAGTGACTTTTTAGCCAATCAGAATGCAGAACACAATGCACGATGCAAATCCGTGAAGTAGCGAAACCGTGAAAAGTAAACCGCGTTATAGCAAGGGATCACTGTACAGAATAATTTCACTCGAAAATAATTCATTCATTATTCATTCCAAAAGTATTTGATAGTTGCAGCCTCAGAGAAAGTAGTTAGGTGTGATGTCAGAGTGACTGATGGGTTGTATATAGGGGGTGGAGTTAAATTAGGGATCAGCACTTGGGCCCTTTTCGTTTCCGATGCTGATGGATAGGTTGACAGATGAGCTCAGACGAGAGGCTCCATGGTGATGTTTGCATGTGGTCATTGTAATCTCAGGTGAAAGAAGGGAGAGCAGGTGGAAGTAAACAGGAGAAACGTGGAGGTTTGCTTTGGAGCAAGGTCGGCAGGAGTAGGACAGAGTACCTGAGTGTAAGCGAAAGTGTCTGATAAAATATCTGAGATTTTCACTTGGAGTGACCAGGGATCAGAAATGATCAAATCATAGGGACGTTTAAGGTGGATTAGTTTGGATATTAGGTTAAGTAGGCAAAGTTGAGTTAGTTGAAAAAAAAAAAAAAAAAGGATGTTGGAGATGCCAGGCAGGAAAACAAACAAAAAAAAAAACTGTGTCGGTTGCCAAGGAATTAGCAATGCATGGTTGCTAGAGTGTGTAAATGTGAAAAAATAAAAAAGGGGAATTATCAACTTGCAGTGTTAGTTTTGCTAAGCATCCGTTTCTATTGTTGGCCCAACAACACAATGATAATGAAACCTGATAATAGCAGCACTGTCAGGTTGATTATATCTGATGTTTTGTGTCCCAGCTTTTGCTCCGATACCTTTTGGAGGCATATATTTACCACTGGAAGTGCCAGCTGCTAAGTGCCATCGCTCACCTCTGGTCCTGGCCTATGACCAGGCACACTTTTCAGCCTTGGTGTCTATGGAGCAGAAGGACAACTCCAACGAACAGGGTAATGCTTTTTCATGTCATTCCTATTTATGAATGTATCACGTATGGCCACCTGAATGTTTAGCTAGGTCGTTAAAGATCCATTAAGTGATCCATCAGTCTTTTTTTGTACTGACCTGAATGTTTACTGGAGGGCGATGACTCATAGTCATTTTCACTTATCGGGTGGTGTTCACGGGCTGAAGATAATGTTACTTCTGACTTTGTGTGTTATGTCGTTTTGTGTCATAGTGTGAGATAGGGTCTGATTTAAAGTTCGATCTTCTTGAGGAACACGATTAACATGACGATGATTGTTGCTAAAAAGTATGCACGTGACCCGTCAGTTGCCTCGATATAGACTCGTAAATGGTCTATATCGGTGTTTTTTTAACCTTGTCCTAGTAATGGAGTTTAAGAAACTATTGATAAAATATTTTGACTTATCCTTTTTAAGACTTTTTTATGACTAAAAACGCCACACAAGCAACAAACAAACGTGTTCTTTCACTTTCGTGAATATAAATCTAGTTCGGAAAAATACTAAAACAACTGTTCCCATTTCAACACTCCTCCCATGTCCTGCAGTTGTTATCCCTCTTACTGACTCGGAGCACAAAATGCTACCTTTGCACTATGCTGTGGATCCAGGGATGGACTGGGAGTGGGGCAAGGATGACTCTGACAACGTTATGCTAGCAAGGTATGGTCCTTTAAAAACAACATTTTTTTGTAAGAAGAATGTTAGACCATTTTACTATTTACATGTCTTGTATGCGTACTGAAATGAGTACGAGTCATTTCAGTCCTTCTGTATCAATTTCATTTAAACTGGAGTTTTAGACTTTTAGGTTGCATGTCCTTATTTATATGTCAACTCTTATAAGAAGACTCTTATAAGATAACATTTTCCACGTCAACTATCGATCCTATAAGTATGCAAAGGGTCAATGAGTTGGTTTTTTTTTTTTGTCTTCCAGTGTCGCTCTTTCCTTGGAGGCCAAGCTCCAGATGTTACACAGCTACATGACTCTTACCTGGCTGCCCTTACCGTGTGAGGTGAGTACTGTAAAGTAATCGAATTGATCCCCCGTACGGCGTTACATTAAATTCCGTTGGGCAATTCATGTTTCTGTCGGAGATATCTCCGCATTCTTCCAGAAAGAGTTTGCAGCACCGGCTGACGTTGCTTGACCTTTGCTTAAACGCAGTTGCATCTTGTTAATGTCATCATCATATGACCTTTACACAAATAGCCTGCTGGTAGATAATGCGGTGATAGTTCAGGAATTTAGGAAAGTCTAGATTGGCTTTGCACTGAGCAACAAATCCAATGTGATGCCCTGTCATAGCACACCAGCTTTTCAGACCGGTGCACCGTCTCAATCTGGTAAATATGAACTCCTATGGTTAGGGTTTTTCAGTGGAAGGAATATATTAAAAAAAACTCATTCAAACCATCTGTATTAAAATAACCAGCTGGGCCTTTTCGTGCTGGAATAAAAACCAGGAGAGTCTGCTCCACTTTAAATGATGCCTTTGTTGATGCACTGACCTTTTTTTTTTGTAAGTTTAGTGAAAACAGATATGTCATATTTGGAAGGTAGTTTTCAGCTCCTATAGATTATAGATTTGATCTGTTCAAAGCATAATTATAATATGTTGGTCCACATTTCACATTTGATCTGGCCCAGGTGACCTCCCTGGGTTTGAAAATGTAACCCAACTGGATTTATAAATGTTTAGGGCGTAGCTTTTATTGTTGTTATTGTGACAGGGTGCTTGGGCTAAAAATAGTTGGCAATGTTAAATGCCAACTGCAAACCATTCTGTCTGCTTATTTAAAAAAAAAAAAAAACTTTTCCAATTGTTAACAATCAGCCAAGGTAGTTAGTCAGTGTCAGTTTTTTGTTTTGTTTTTTTTTTTGTTTTGTTTTTGTTAAAGCACAAATTAAGTACCCAAATCATATTGATTAAATGTGTTCAAGGTTTGTTTCTGCTACCGGTGCTGTGATATAATTAATCTAAACCAGACCTTTTTTTTATAAATGCTTTTTGTGTGAGATTGGGCTACTGCATCACTGTGAATATTATTTACATTCTTCAAAATATATGTAATATTTAATACTAAATTTGTAATGTTACATTTATATATTTCAATATATTTAATATTAATTTGATATTAATATAAACATAATATGAATATAATAAATATATAAATCATATATAATTATATTGATGAAGTATAAATCATATATAATTATAGTGATGAAGTAATATTCATCACTGTGAATATTGGTTACCCTCTTCAAAATATATTGAATATTTTATACTAAATTTGTAATATTAAATGTATATATTTCAATATATTTAATATAATTTTATGTTATATTAATATAAACACAATATAAATATAATAAATAAAAATAATATAATATATATGTTATATAAATATAGTGATGAAATAATATTCATCACTGTGAATATTGTTTACCCTCTTCAGAATATATTGAATATTTAATACTAAATTTGTAATATTAAATGTATATATTTCAATATATTTAATATAATTTTATGTTATATTGATATAAACACAATATAAATATAATAAATATAAGTATTATAATATATATGTTATATAAATATAGTGATGAAATAATATTCATCACTGTGAAATATTGTTTACCCTCTTCAAAATATATTTGATACTAAATTTTGAATATTAAATTTATATATTTCAATATATTTAATATTCATTTTTATATTATATATTTAATATTAACATTATATTTATTATGTATTTACAGTGTTTTATTTTTTATTATAGTTGAATACAGTTGAATAACAAATGGATTTTGCAGTGAAATGAAACCATATATTAGGCAAATCTAAATCCGGATCTAAATACGTTTTACTTCATTTTTAAGACTTTTCCTAAACTCGCAATTCCGCCTTGTTCTTGTTGCAGCAAGCCCCCCTGGCCCAACCCGAGTCTCCCACGGCATCCGCTGGAGAAGATACGCGTACACCTCCTGACTCCGGAGAGTCGGACAAAGAGTCTGTCAGCAGCAGCTCCAACGGCAACGGAGACACCACCACAGCGTCGACGGTCTGCGGAGCCGGATCCCTGGCCAAAAACAATTCATCATCTTCCTCTAGTTCTTCTAGCAGTGGCTCAGCAGGGACAGGGACTGCAGTGAAAGACAAAACAAAGAAGGAAAAGGACAAAGACAAGGAAAAGAAGAGGGCGGATTCGGTAGCCAATAAGCTTGGCAGTTTTGGAAAGAGCCTGGGCAGCAAGCTGAAAAAAAACGTCGGGGGACTAATGACGGGGAAAAACGCAGGAGCCGCAGGTGCTAAGCAGGACGGCGGCGAGAAGAAGAAGGGCTCGTTCCGAGCCAGGAAAGGCAGCAAGGAGTCGTCACCATCGGTCCACGTCTCGGAGGATTCCGGAAAGGCTTCCCTCTCCTCGGGCAGTGAGCGGCTTCACGATACGGGAAGCAGCATAAGCAGCAGCGCGGGGAGCAGTATCGAGAGCGAGCCGTACAAGTACAGCGCCGATGTTAAAGTGAGCCTCGGCATCCTACGGGCCGCCATGCAAGGTGAGAGAAAGTTCGTGTTTGCCAGCCTCCTCACGACCAGCAACAGGCAGCCCTTCCAAGAGGAGATGATCCAGCGCTACTTGGCCGATGCCGAGGAACGATTTAGGGCCGAGCAAGAGCAACAGCGGCGGGAAGCAGAAAAGAAGGCCATGCCTGTTGGCATACAGCCCGCGAAAAAGGAAGTGGCCGGCGGTTCAGAGGTGAGCTACCAGCACTATGAAGCCAAAGAGGAACTGTCAGACAACTTACCGTCACCGTCATTTAGCCAACTCAAACCCACTCCCTCCAGCCCATCTATGTATTCCGGGGTTGTGCCCATCCCCAGGCCCTCCATTATTGAGCAGAGCCCCACCACTGCCCCTCACACCCAGTATCTTCATATGCAAGGTTACATGGACAACAGGAAGCAGCTAGCCGGTGGTTCCCCTGTGTCCACCTACCCAAGCCTTCCGTCATATGCAACTCTTCCTCGCCATTGTCCGACAACAGAGGGAATATCCCACCCCCAGTACGACATCCCAAATATCTCACAAGGCCATGCTTCCCTGAGTCCCGCTCAGCCCTCGCCCTCGTACCCCCTGGAGTTTGACCCTCCAGACTACCCCAGGTCTGAATCATCTGCTGCTGCTGCTGGAAGCTACACCAATGGTTTCATCGATGTGCGCTCTCACCTAGACTCTTGGGCAAGGCAACCTCCCGTCAGACATTACTCGCTGGGCAGCGCTGGCGCTCTCGCAAACTCGCAGTCGAGCCGCTGCCGGACGCCCAGCTGCAACTACTACGGACATCCCGAAACAGGGAACTACTGCTCCTATTGCTATCGCGAAGAGCTGAGAAAGAGGGAAGAGCAATCCAAAAGGTTCTGGATGGAATGAACCTTGGATTTTGGATTTTGTCAAGTGGCCTTTTCTGTTAGAAGTAACTTCTGGGGGCAGATAAGCCTGTGAAAGGTAGTCCGGTTCTGTCCCTCTTCCAGCTGTCCCTTTGCGTTAACTCACGTGACGGCGGGGGGGGGTAATAGGTAGGCTCACACCCTAGAACTTGGGATAAAGTTAATTAACTGCACTTTGGTTACATTTTACCATGGCTCTTACACAGGTTTTTGAGTGCGAGGGTGTACGTGAGTGTATGAATGTTTTTGTTTTTTTTTTTCATTTGTGGGCTTTCCTTCTTCATCTATATATTTAAACCATGTTTTCAGCTCCCTCTGGTGGAGAAGAATTTCGTGGCAGTCGCCATACACTACTCCTCAAAAAAACACATATAGTGCCTGCACACGTAAAAGAAGTCAGAGTCGCACTGGTTCACGTACAGAAAGGCTGGTGGGTGGATGTAAATGGTCTTAATGTTTGTTTTTTTGTCGGTCTAACGTTTGGAAAAGTCGATGGAAAAAAATGGACGTTTGGAAGTTTGTTGTTGAAGGTTAGCTTAACGAGAGACCGCGGGGTGACCGCCCGGCAGTTTCTCACTCAGTCACATTTCAAAAGAAACACGATGGGCGGTAAAGCAGCTGGAAGTCGCGTCCGACGAGGTGCGATTTCAGTGTTGATAAACATTCGATACTACTGTAACCAGAGGCTTGCATCATAGGTACCTGCGATTTCACTCACTTTTGTTTCCCACTCGCTGCATGATGCAAACGGCATATTGCGTGCATCACTATTGCATCAGCATTCTCAACTTAACATAATAATGTTCCCGATTGCTACCACATGGATAAGTATATTCGTTTGCTCCTCTGTAGCTTAGTGTTTTTGGTTTTTTTTTTCTTCTGATAACAAACTACACTTTTGAAGATGTCTACACTGTAGGAATGACTGTAAGATAAAGAATAATTGGTCACCTGACTGACATTGTTGAACAAGGACAGCAACATAGGACGTACTGTACGTTAAGGTACCAAAATCCCAAAAGTTGTCGTTTGGAATTTTTCTCTCTTTTTTTTAAATGGACCTTCCCATTTCTGGAATAGATGGCGATTGAGTGAGGTTTTTCACAGCAAAGATGAGAAGAGTGGCAATTCTACACACTACAAACACGCCTGTTGTGATCTGGTGATAATCTGAGTCATTTGATCATCAATGGATGCTGCTAAGTTCACATTTTGAAATGACCGAATGCCTTAATGTGGAAAAAAAAAAAACATTTTTTTTTTTTTTTTGCGCTAAAGACTATTGCTTAAATTTTCAGCCCAATGTTTTTAGGATGAAATGTACTGACCAGCCTAAAGTGTACGTGAGGAGAACAAGAAGCATGTTGAAGCACGCCCTCGCTCTATCCTCTCTATATTTAAGACTCGCAGGATGACTAATACTTGTTTGACTACTGTAGTTCTACAGTAAACTGGCTGTTACCACAATTTAAATGGATTAATTAATTACCATTACAAATTAATTTTTTTAGTCACTAACTCTCAACCTTTTTTTTTTTTGGCTCGTGACCCCATTTTGACATCACAAATTTTGGACGACCAAAGACACTTTTTTTTTAATTTTTTTTTTTTTTTTAGTTTTTGATAATATTTATTATACTGTGTTGCAAATATAGCACAGTAAGTTCAGTGCATAAAGTGACATTTTATTTACCCTGATCAAAGGTACAGGCCAGAGTGAAGATTTGAAAGATGGAAAATATTACAGTGCTTCACTTTGTCATGCAGTTGTTTTTAAAATCAATTACTAGATGGCGACCATTTGAATTCCGACCCCAAGGTTTGAACACTACACTAATCTGACATCCGAACAGAAATTTACAGACACGCACATGCACAGGTAGGGTGAGTGTGCATTTACGGTAATTCCCCACTTGGCCACAAGAGGGCTGTTTTGCAAATATTTTAAAAGCATATGCAGCGCTTTCCATTTGTGCTCAGACCACTCAGAGTTGGTGTTCACGCCAGGTTTAAACAGGGACAAATAGCCCAAAACATTCTGGAGACATTGGTCGACGCCTTTTGAACATGGTTATAGTCACGATGATTGGAAGTTTTCAACTTGGAGTGATTGATCCGTCTGTGACGGAGTAGGCGAGTACTGACACTGCACTGACTTAAATGGTTGCTACTGAAAGTCACTGACGCAACACTGATTTGAACACTCGTGTAACTTAGCTTCCACCATCCGAAGAAAACAGTTGCATTTTTAAAAAAATCTACCCAGGGCTTAGTAGTATTTTTTTTTTACATTCGGAGACTAAAATTTGTCCTTCGCGTCAAGGCTTCTACTTACTACCGCCGTTCTCCAATGAGTTGGTTAGAAGACCTTACGGTTTCTTTAAAGTGATCTCAATTTTTTTTTTTTAAATTGGGTGAATTGCTTAAATTGTCCGTATTTTCAAATGGGGGAAAATCACCATAATTTCATCCAGAAGATGGCGCTGGGTTATTAATATGGTACATTAATTAGTATGGTACATTAATAATACCCAGGATGTGATTGTTGACACCATGTTTGGCGCTGTTCGAACCTGTAATATTAAGGACCACGCGCTCTTCACGTACACATCTACGTGGAAAATACCTCGACTAATTAGTAGCCTCGTTTCTTCAAAGCTTCCGTTCATTTGCGTGACTTATAAAACGAGCAGCTCTTGAGCTGCAGATAGCTACAAACTCTGTCCAAATTGTTTTTCCAAATTAACGCACTTCTTTTTTCATTGTCCATTAGTACAGTATACTATGCCGTTTTGAAGGGGCGGGGCGCGGGCACTTTAGGTCAGCTGTCACCAAAAAGCTTTAGGTCGGAAGAATTCAATGTTCTGTTTTACTTTCACCTTCCACTGCAACAGGGCACCCGTTCAATTTTGACTTTTTTTGCACACATAGTATCGGCTCGTTAATAGGCTCATAAATGTATGTCCTCTAATCGGGAGTTTAGAGTGATTTCAGTTTCAGTCGTACGAATCTCGTAATGACTACTATACGTCTTCACCAACTTTGTTTGTACTTCGCGCGAGTGACGCTGGGGGGATTTGTGCTGGCGCGTGAGTAACTGCCCACCTCGTGATTTTAGCCGCTCTTTGCTAGGAGGTCATTTGAGAAGCACAATATGCAATATGCAATTCACGCCTTGCTCAGGCGATGGCGCCGTTGTTGTTTTTTTTTCCTTCTGTGTGTTTGACGGAAATACTGAAACACTATGTAACACAGCATGGCAGTATTCTCCCCCCCCCCCCGGTGTGGATGACTGTTGGCGATAGAAAAAAAAGAGGGCTTGCAATAAACTTTCAATGACAATAAAAACACTTTCTAATTAATTCATAACATGTTTGTTCGTACACCTCCATTTTTGGATTCTAATCACATGGTCCCACATTGAAGGGTACAACTGTGGCTAAAGTACACAGCAACACCACCGAACGGAAAAAGGCACAAGTTTCTGTGCAGCTAACCGCAAGTGATTTTTAAGTTTTGAGCCAAGTTTGGGGGGAAAGAAAGCTTAAAGTCACGGTTTATTTAATTAGAATATTGAAATTATAATTTGGCAGACAATTTATTCTTTAGACAATGTTATAGCTTTTTTTTTGTTTGTTTTGAAGGATTTCTTGAGTAGATAGTAGTATTTTTGTTGCTATATGTGACATCTTAGATAAAATATATCAAATAATTTTGTAATTATTTTGTAAGATACTCATAATGATATACAATGAAATCCTGGCTCTTATAGTAAATCCAGTTACTTTGAGTTAAGTTGAAACATTTTCATTTGTGAATGTGTATATCTCAAAGTTATTAAAAGTCCAAAACACATTTTGTCCAAAACACTAAAACCGTGGTAAAAGTTTTCAGTTCTCCACTCTGGCTAAAAGCTCAAAATTGTTTGCCATCAGTTGCCTGAACACTTTTGTTTTCCCGTCAGAAATACAACTCAACATTTCATCTAAAATCTCTAAGGGTTTCTCCTGACGCAGCGGACGCTTCAGGAAAAACGTGGACCATCAGTCTTTACGCATTTTTTTATATTTAAAGAGAAAACAATGAGAAGTTGTACAAAAATGTCCTGTGTATTATTTTTGTAAGCGCCGAGTTTTCAAGTGTTTCTAAAGTGCAAAGAATGTATTATTATGTATTTTTGGATCTTCGGGGAAGAAAAAAAAAAAAAAACGATAATAAGTTTAAGGGTACTCAGGTTTCAGGGTGGAACTGTTGTAGACATCTGACCATTAAACAGACTCTGAGACAAGTTTCTTGATTCTCGAGGCTCTGACTACAACTCATTTCCTTGACGATGACCTGAAAGATTACACATGGGAAATGATCTTTTACGTCTTATTCTTCGACAGATTTCTTTGAGAACATTTTAGCTTGCATCAGTAGGTTGCATTTTGATTGCGTTTTTTTTTTAAGTGAGGCCAATCTCTGTTCTTCTGAAACAGGACAGTTCCATTGTCACTGACCCATACCACTTTTCCTTTCCTCACCGACCCACCCACCCCAACAACTGTCACAGTTGAATTTTCTATAACTCTTATTATTTCTGTAGGAACCGAACACTTGGCATTAATGACAACGATGTCAACAGCTTCAAGTAGCATGGGGATGAAATGTTGCATGTTCCGACCGTGCGCTTTTTAAAAAAAAAAAAACAAACCCTTGATTTTATTTGTTTTTGGTATTTTTGTATTATTTAAAGTTTTATTTTTCACGTTGCTATGTTTTTTTGTCTTTGAAGGAGTCTCTGCTAAGGCTGTGTGGCAGTGCAATCTGGCTGAAACATCGGATTTCTGTTTTCCTCTAGGTTGTTAATGTTGTTATTACTCATAATAAGAATAATATGTTTGCACCATTGAATAAATTTTATTGTATTTCAAACATTCTGCGCTGCTTTATTGGGTTTGGAGATAATGAAGAAAAAAAAAAACATATATGTCGCTCCGGCAAGCTAGAGCGCCCTCTAGCAGCTGGCAGTGTGAAAATAACGAACATGTACATTTTCAGTGGTACAGGAGACGCAGATACTGGTACACAAGCTTAGAGTGCCCTCTAGTGGCTGGCAGTGTGAAAATAACAAACGTGAAATGATATATTTTAATATATAAAAGTCGCATCTGAGTATAAGTCGCAAACTCAGCCAAAGGATGAAAAAAAAGTGTGACTTGAAGTTCGGAAAATACGGTATATCCGAGAAAAGTAGACGTTTTCGCAAAGACCTGCTGTCATTCTGCAGGGAGCAATAACAAAAAGAATAAATAGTACAAAAAAAAAAACCAAAAAAACAGGAACGTCTGCTAACAGCAGCAGTACTTCATATGTATGAAAATGTACTGAAATTAAAATAATAATAAAAAAAAAAAAACACATGCTTAAGAGAACAGCCCAACTCGGTGTCCATTGTGTATTACTTTAACCTTATTGCATTATACATTGTTGGATAATTCCAGCTCAGATGATGCAAGGTCCTCTGTCAACGACTGAGAAACTGGAGACCCTTATGTAATATTAAACACTTTCCCATGTATCAAAAAATCCAGACCTCACACTGATGGAGTACTGAACGCCATCTCTGTTACTACTTAGCAGAACATAACTGACGCTCGTCGTTTCTCGAACCGTTCTGTCTCTTACCTTTGGTTTTTCTAGGCATCGTATGACTTAAAGGAGTCGTACAAACGGTTTGTTTTCAGCAGTTAGCTGGATAGCAGAGAAAAGGAAAATAAGCCTAGCTGCTAAGGACCCAGACCAAGGAAGATCGGTAAGTTATTAGCTACTTTAAGTTCAATTCGATTGTTGTTGTTTTGTTTTTTTAATGTGTTTATTGTGTTTGGTTTTACAGCAGTAGTATCGTGATAAGGATGGACGGACAAATGGAATCAATACCAGTTTGTTAAGCTTGTGAGTTGTGTTAAAATGTTAAAGTTTCATCATCTGAACAGGAGTACTTATAAAAACAGTAAAATAAGTAAAAAAAAATCCAAATTTACATCATGTCCTTCAATAAATATACAAATATTGATCTAACATAGTAAAAAATGTAGATTTGGTAAAAAATGAAACGTTACATTACATTATGATACTTTTAGTCAGTCAATCATGCTACAGTAAACAAATACAAAAATACATAAATAATAATAAATAGTAATACATAATAAATAGAAAAGGTACAGTTGTAGTCGTAGTAGTTCATGGAGTAATAAGAGTAGTATGTCGTAAAAAATATATCATAAGTAAGTCACAGTCATAGGATAGTAGGTCAGTATACTCCCAATTTATCTGTTTTTATTTACTTATTTTTATTTATTTGTTCTTTGTCATGCGATTGCAAATATATGAATTCCATTTCATGAAATGTATTTAAATTCTTAACAAGACCAGAAGCTTTTTAAATAAAACCACGGGGCTTCTTATATATATAAGAGATGTTTACCTTCTAAATACATAGACTGTGTATAAAACGACATCACTTCAGCTCACAGAGTAACAGACATGGCGATATCCTTTTTTTTTTTTTCCAATTTCTGCCTGTATCGGAAATAGTTCCGTTTCGCGCTTACGTGCTTTTTTTCAGGTACTGTACCTTTAAGAAACCCCCTCCGCTGCGCTAGCAAATTTTCCTCTTTTTACTGAGCGTTTGAATGTCTCATTATGGTGAAGAAGCAGAAAAACAAATAGGGAGGAAACAAGCGGCTGCGTGTATGCGTGTGTGTTAGCGACTCATGGCATCTCCTTAGAGTCCGCTTTAGTTTTGTCAGTGTGGTCAGGAGACGGAATGTTCGCTAGCGAAAGGAGCCATTGAGGAGGAAAAATAGTTTTCAGCTCACTGTCGACAGAGGTGCTAACCAAATGCTGTTGAACCTGGACCAGCATCTCTACTCATTTTCCATGATACCCTTTTTAAAAGCCGTGCATTTAAAGGGAGAGGAGTCGTCCGAGTAAGCTTGGAATTACAGTCACATTTATTATTGTTCTAAATTGTATTCCGTTAGCTCATTATTCTTTATTCGTCTCGGCTGGAGTTGAGTCATCGTTAAAGATGTTGACTGGATCCAAAACCACATTCAAAGTGAGACAAATGTTGCCTGACATCAAGGTAAGACATTTTTATCCGGTATTGCTAAAGGCTCAAACACTAGGTGTAATATATATATATTTTTTTTTTTTCACCGTTTGTCATTTTTAAGTAAAAAGCCGTTTTTATATGTATAACAGAACGTGGAGAGTCCAGGTTTTAGGTCGCCCACATGACTGATTTATAACATAATGACACAACTTAACAACTTTCATTGTAGGTCACACCGCCGCCACAACGATTTAATTTCAATATGACAAACATTTTTTACCACTTCCAAGAAAAGACAACGTCCACAGGAAGTGCTTGTTGACAGCAGTATTCTATTAAAATATGTTTTTTTGACAGATAGATAGATAGATAGATAGATAGGACTTTTATTAATCCCTTCTGGAAATCTACATCTCAACTTGACAATGATTAGAATCAAATCAATATATAAAAAAAAAATATATATATATAAAATAAAACCAACCAAACCTAGCAATTTTCCACATATATTTTCATTCTATTTTGTTAAAGGAAAAACAAAACAACCACCCCTCAGATATTCGTATTCATTATAAAAGGCTTTTATAAATTTGTTTTCCTTTCGTTGTTTGGGTACAACAAAAGCGCTCATCTGGGATTTACCGTGCAGGCTTCCCCTTTCCTTCCTTCCCCTATGATCCCTTAACTGAGACGACTCTTCTGGATCCTTTTTTTGTGTTTTGATTGTTGTTGTTATTTAAATAATATGAACAATTAATAGGTACAAAACTGTGTTTTATTTTACTAAGCAGTGATTGGTTAGCTTTCAAAAAAAAAGTGTTTAAAATGTGTTTTATAGATATATATATATACTGTATATATATATTCTGTGTAGATATTTATATATATTTATATATATATTTATATATATTTATATGTATTGAATACACATTGCTACATGTTTTTGTTTTTGTGTTAAGCCACGCAGCTCCTTACATTCCTACAAAGGCGATTCCCCAGACGGCCTTCGTCTCTCATTTAGAACCATATTGCGCAGACACTTGCAGCTCCTAGACATACTTACAGTGTACACACACACACACACACGCACACATTCATACACACACAACATGAATGTGTTAAAACTTGGCTTTGTGACTCAGCTCAGGCTTTTTTTTCCTGTTCTTACCCTCCTCCCAGTTATTTTCAGCAACCGCAGGGGGAAAACAGTAACAGATGCCTCTACTCTTGGCCCTCGGGGGCAAACTATTTATGTGGATATGCGCTTTATTACATCATCGGGCTGTCTCCATAGAAACATAGTTTTAAGATCTAGCACACACAAATTCGATTTTTTTTTTTTTTTTTTTTTCTCCCCTTCACAGCCTCACCGAACTACTCCGAGTGTATGTGTGAATCTGGAAGTGATTCACAGTGGAACAGTAGGCTGTGTAGATGATGAATGCACACGCCACCCACGCACTCTTGTAGGCATGAATGTGTTAAAGACAACTTTGGAAAACGCTCTTTGTGAATTTCCCATCTCCAGATCTCTTTTGATAATAGACTAAAAATATTGATGAGGGGCGGGGGGGGGGGGGGGTGTGTTGTATCCTCGTATTTTGATGTTGTGGTGGGGGAGTGAAACGTAGTGAATGTGAACAGGCCTGCGACACAGATGCTATCTCATGGTAAACCGACTGCTCACGGTAACAAATAATCTCACTTATCAAAGTGACAGTGAACTCACCCGGTCAAAACTCTTTCATTATAGCGAAGTTTTGTCCTTTCG